TATGTCCAAAACTTTTCCTTTCTATTTAGCCATAGGTTCACCTTCAGACTTTCTCTACTGATCTCTCTGTATGTTTAAGGGTAATAGATTAATGGTATTTGGTGTATAAGGTTCTTTTCCCTAGAGAAATGTCAATTTTGCAGGTGCTGAATCATAACTAGTTATGAGACCATTCATATTTTTGTTTCTTCACTGTGGCAAAAGACTGGAGGAAGAGACTTGGCAGCTGCTTCTAGTTGTTCAGTGGAGAAATCTATCAGGGTGATACATGTATGGATTAAGACAATTTATACAGTGCAGCCCCATCAAACATAGGTTTTTACTCTGTTTAATAAGGTAGAGACTGGCAATTGCAATGTGTGAGTTGTCTGGAGCAGACAAGCAAGACAAGCCTTCCCACACAAGCATCCATCTCAGCTGCCAGCAGTGATCCTGCCACCACTGCTTGATTCCAATATCCCAGCAAATAAATAAACATTTTGTTGCTGTGTTTAGAATAACAAACACATCCATCTTGTAGCAGGCGTTCAGTCGGTGGCCTCATATACTCCAGTAAGGCTGAGCAGGGTTCAGGCAGTTTTTGGCTAGCCTATCAAGAAGCTGCATGGCTTCTGCAGAACTGGCTAAATCAAGCAAATGGTTTTATATCTGCAGCGGGTAGATCTGTAATTTCTGCAGCTGCTTCTGTCTCATTATCTGTTGAGGACGTGAAGAGGAGACAAGCTGGTGGGTTCCTATATAGTATTTTATGTCACACATACATGAACTTATCTCACTGGCCTTTTGTTTATCCTCACTGTCATCTATTTGAATCCTGTCACTGTGTTTTCAAAGGACTCCAGTGTGCAGTCTGACTTTGCAGATAATAAATGGTCTTTTCATTTTTTTCCTGTAATCCATATGCTTCCTTTTCCACACTGAGATGTCTTCTCTTGCTCTTCACAAGCATCCCACAAGCAAAGGCAGTGCCCTTCCCAGGTTGGGTACATGCAGCTCAGGGAGCGAGGTGCCACTTGTCACAGCTGCTAGTGGCACAGGATAAAACACTAATCTTTTATTAAGCGAAACATAATCAGCAACAAACATTGCACCATGACAAAACACTGAGGAGAGAAAATGGACTTCTGTGATATACTGTCCAAGTCAGGTGTCAGTCCACCTGGAGAACTTACGTGACCAAGAAAAGATCACTCTGCCTGTCAACCAGTGCTTCATTCTTCTGACTGTCAAACATAATGTCAATCCTTCTTCATATCCTATTTCATTTTAAGCTTACTGTTCCTGCAGTATCCATGCACATGCAGATACTGCCAGGAGTAATAAGCTTAAAATGAAGCATTATATTATTCCCCTCATGCAACCAACCCCATCTCATTCACGGCCCTAACTTCCCTTAATGTTTGTCTTTCCTCCCAGCTGGTCCCTCTTCTGTCACCTCTCCATCTTCCTCCTCCAATGGTACTCTGTAAGCCTCCATACTAGTAGTGTGACATCATATTTTTGTGCTCTCCCCAGTACTATATCTGATTGATTGCAGTTATCCACCCAAGGAGCAACTGACAAGGGGAAACGGTTGCACACTAAAAGAGGGGAGATTTAGACTGGATATAAGAAAAGAGTTTATTACAGTAAGGGTGGTGAGGCACTGGCACGTGTTGTCCAGAGAGGTGGTGGATGAGATCCCTGGAGACATCCAAGGTGAGGCTGGATGGGGCTCTGAGCGCCCTGATCCAGCTGTAGGTGTCCCTGTTCATCGCAGGGAGTTGGACTAGACAGCCTTTATGGATCTCTTCCAACTCGAACAATTCTAAGGTTCTATGATTCTATCCCTGTCTCTGCAAAGCTGCAACCAATTATTCTTACGCACTCTCAGCCTCAATGAGCTGTACACTTTTTCCACTGATGTAGCTTTGCTAAGTCCATCCTGAATGCTGGCTCTGTCTGCCAGTGCTTGCAGTCCCTCCCAGCCTGGAGATTTAGTAAATGTGCTGTTCCTGATGGGAGCCAGCTTGCAACCGAGTGCTGTCAGACCTGCAAAACACCAGTTGTTATGTTTTAGCAAAGAAGCTTCAGGAAGAAAAAAAATACTATTTGTTGCATCAATTCTGCCACAGCTTGTTTGCAGCCTGGGTTCAGCAGTGTGTTTGTCTGATGCTAATGGGCTAGTGGCTTTGCTAGTAGAAGAAGCTGATGCATGTGAGCCCTGTCTGACCCACAGCTATGGGAAATGCCAGACACCCCCACAGTGCATTTGACCTCCCACATAGAGTGAAGAAATGGAGCATGGGGGACAGACAGCTGCTTCCAAGCCCCAGCAGCCCAGGTTTTTAACATGGGAGGTCTGGGCCAGCCTGGATTCTCAAGGCAAATTATATAGTGTGAAGTTGCACTGTCCTCAGTGTGTCCTCCCCAGAAGCAGGCAGAGCTGTTTCAAATCACTCATTCTGAGCTACGGCAACAAGTTTCAGGAGTTGATTAAGTGTTAGAAAACAATTCTCCTTTGCAGCTTAAATGTACTGCTTCTCAGTGTAATTGAATTTCCCCCGTTGTTCCTTTTCATTACAAGAAGATGGATAAGTGCTGGATTTACTCTTCTAAACATGCTCTTTATGTACCGTCACATCTCTTTTCATTTGTCCCTTTTTTGGCTGAACTCAAGAACTCAGCTTTCATTCCTTTTTTCATAGAAATTTTTCACTCCTAATTGTTGCTGTTACACATCAGGACTCAAATTTCTGCTATGGATTTTACTGTGGGATGTTCAAAAAGAGTTTCAGGCCAGGTATCATAGAATCATTAAAAATCAAAGAATCATTAAGATTGGAAAAGGCCACTGAGATCATCTAATCCAACCATTATGGTGCTCACAGCCAGGATATTTGTGATGTACAGTCCAACTCAGGTTTTGGTCCACATGGATGACTCTTACTCCAGTTCCAGTTGCTCTGGGGAGGAGAGGTTTCCACCAACAGGCAAACAAAAGCCCTCCAGTGCATTTTACAGAGGAGCCACAGTTGTTATAGAAATATAGCTGAGGAATCTGAGCTAATTACTTGCAAATTGCTGTGCATTTACCACTTCTAGTTAGCCGGTCTTAAGACCTATACAGATGCTATTCTGGAAACCTGCTGTATGTGGAGGAAGTCACTGCTGATGGTGAGGGCACAACATGAGTTGTGGTACAGTACTCATGCAGAACTGAGCAAGAGTTAGCACTCTTTGGCCTCTGATGTGAAACAGGCCACTGTGTCTTAGTCTCATTACCTTATATTCATGTGTATCACTACAGTGCATCCTCACCACTTGCAGCAGATTTAGCTTTCTCCTGGGGTGCACCCAAGCTGGCTCCTAATGCTTTAGGAACCAGAGAAGCCAGCATCCCTTTAGTAGCCTTTCCATGAGCTAACAGCTTCCAGCAGGGTTTGCCAATGCAACAGTGTGCCATCAAGGCCCGAAGAGGCCATTTCTGCCCCTAGCAGCCTCCCTTCAGACATCCTCACTGTTAGGCAATCCTGAAGCCATCCCTTTTCCAGGCTAGCTCAGCCCAGCTGCCCTTGCATCTCCTCACAGATCAAGTGCTCCAGCCCCAACAGGTTAGGGGAGATCTCTGAGAGCTCCCTCCCACTTGTCCATGAGTTTTGTGGAGTGGAGGGCCACGACTGGATGTGCTCACCTAGATGACATCTTAACAGTAGCCAAATAAATCATCACTTTATCTATTGGCTAAAATACTACCACAAATTTCTCAGAGTTTGTTTTCAAAGACAGAGGAGTTCCCAAATCCCATTCACAGACACCTGTGCCTGCATAACTGAGATGGTACCATGCTGCCTTACCAAGGCTGAGTACTCCAGGAGGGGAAGGCAGGCTAAGAAAGACGGATGCTTTAGTGGAGCCTCTCATGACAGGACAAAGGGAAATGATTTCAAATGAAAATGAGAGATTTAGATTGGATACAAGGAAAGAGTTTTTTTATGATAAGGTTAGTAAAGTACGCGAACACGTTACCCAAAAATCCAGGATGTCCCATCCTTGAAGACATCCAAGGTCAGGCTGGATGCGGCTCTGAGCACCTTGATCTACCTGTAGGTGTCCCTGTTCATTGCAGGTGTGTTGGACTAGATGACCTTTTAAGGTCTCTTCCAACTCAGATGATTCTATGAATCTAAGGTAAGGAAGGGCTTGAAGAGACCACTGCTGTGGATCACTTTTTACTGGGGAATCCAAATCTGATGTATTTTCATCAAATAGGCCTCATACTTCTCACCCTGGCTGTATTATGCCCCTTTCCAAAGGAAGCAACCACTTCAGTACTTAAAGATTTCTGCCTGTAACTATTTCCACTTTCCAATACAAATCACCCACTCCTTACAGTGCAAACAGGATTGGCTGCATTATTGATTGATTGATATTCATGATTTCAGTAAAAAGGGCAGATATTTAGGATATCTCTCATGAGTGACTTATTTGTGCTTTACAATAGCCAGCAAGGCAAGTTTGAAAAAAATGCTCTCATCTGACTCCACAGCTCTTCTGTGAACAGCAATACATGTTCCTCTTCTTTGAAAGTGCTTTGGATTCATTTTTTATCACACTCAATCCTTTAATTATTCAAACTAAGAATTATTCCATTAAAACATCTATGATAACTTTTATTTCTAATCATGGGAAGTATCTTCTTAAGTGATTGGAAAGTATGTTAATTTGTCAAAAGAGTAAAGTTACCTGCATGACCCTAATAAAGAAGATACAATAAATATAAAATGCACCATTGGAAGTATTTGAAAATTATCTCTATTCAAATGATTTTGAATAAAGTCAGAACCAGACAATGTTATGTTACAGCCCAACAAGGTTTAGTGCCTACTACAACAGAAAAGGACAACAAGAAGAATTCATGATTGCAAATTTATTACATAGAACAGTAGATTCCAGACAACTCAGTCACGTAATAGACAGTGCAACAAGAAGTCTCTTGCTTTTGTATAAACCAAGTTATTGAGCTGGTAAGTCAACCCACAGACTTCATATTCCATGGTATTCTGAAATAAATTAATGCAATGTCATATTTTATGCTGAAATGTTGATCTGTATGTGATTTAGTATTCAGTTATGTATGTTTAGTCCTTCCTAAAATTAGAAATGAAATCACCTGAAATTCCTGTACCTTGAGATAAAGATAGGCAAAAGTCTGAAATATGGGATTAAGTACCCCGATCTGTTAGGTGCACTCAAACATGAATCCTCCCTCCTCATGCAGTTCTGCTCTCTCCATCATATCCCAACTACACTGACTTCCTTTCAGAAGGGTGGAGGCACAGCGCTGATCCTGCAGCCCAGCTAACTCAGGGCACTGAGCTGCAGGTAAGAGCAGAGCAAGCACACTGTTATGCTGCTCCATAACACACTTCCAATCATTGTCTCCCTTCTTTCTGACTTCATCTTAAAAATACAGTAAAAGCATTCTTTGCTTGTTTTCTTTGCAGTATTTCTTTGCTACTTGTCTGACCTGTCACCCCAGATAAATAACCTTTCCTGTCAACACTTGGATGTGATTTTTAAATGCAAACAGATTGATTTTTTTTATTGTGGGACAAAAGATTGGAAGAAGAGAGTTTGAAGGAGGAAATGCATATACACTGATTATTTTCTGCGTTTTCCATTAAAGCACACTGAGACATTTAATATACCCTTTCAAAGATGGATAAGGAAGAACTACATGATACTACTAGATCTTACTGTCTTCCTTCCTTACATCCCCATTCTTGCTCTTTCTACTCAGGTTTACTCCAAGAAGATCTAAATATGATGTAAAGATTACTCCGATCTGCATGCAGAGATCTTATTAGTGGGTTCTCACATGGAACTAGGTGACTGAAGGTTGCTGGGAGCAGAGGTGAGTCCACTTTTATCATAGGGAAGGACTTGCTAGCTTTTGTGTTCCAAGTACAATATACACCCACTAGAAAAAAAAAGTTATCATTCCTGTATCATTTCTATCATTTTGCAGAGGCTGAATGAACCTCAAAGAAAATTCTTTTGTCAAGAGCATATACCATAACACTTTGAGTAAGAAAGAATTTCTGTCCCAATGGCTTTCAGTGACCATATGAAACATCCACATGGGTATCTAGGTTTGTACTAGGTTCATACAACTCCTCAGTAACTCCTTCATTACTGAAATATGGAACAAGTTCTGGTTGCTTTTGGATGGTCTACTTACCACTGCCTTCAATAGTTCTTCCATTTCGAGGCTGAAAAATAAAATAATGGAAGGGCTATACAGAGCTATTAGATGTCAGATATACAGACACAGCCAAATACATCCCCCATTAAGGCTGCACTAAGATTTCTTTTAAAGAGACATGTTAAGTATCACAGGGAGCCATGTAGGGTGGGTTTTGACTGTGAACCCAGGAAATTTTGTTCAATCTGACTTCTACTATTCTAAGGATGTTGGTCCCAGCTCATCAAGGAACTAAGTAGATGCCTAACAAAGACCAGCCCTGAAAGTACCTGACTAGACTCTGAATTGACACAATGGTTACATGCCAAAACCTTTTTAGATTTCTTTTCTGATACGTTGAAAACATTCCTAAAAACTAGCTTGGTGTTAACCTTATAAGGTTAATCATATAATCATAGACCTGAGTATTCTAAACTAGACCGTGCCACAGTTTAAGCCAATGGGTGAAAAAAAGTGAAGGAAATGAGGATGTTTATAACATTGCTTTGGCTTTTCACTCTGTTATGCAGCATGCCACTGCCTACTAGCCAGACCTTCCAGGCTATGTAGAAAATCAGCTCATGCATCTGCTTCATATGGGGAATTTAGTATGAAGGCACCTTGGCCATCTGTGACATACAAGCCACATACTACTTCTGTCTTTAGAGGAGGTGACTGGAGACATCCACAGTCACATCTTACAGTAAAAAAAGTTTAATCCATTACCACTCCAGATCTCATTATCTTGTGGTCTTTTAGCTGAACCTGAGTTTTTTAAGCAAATGGCTTTTTCAGCTTTCAAACAGAGGGGGATTTGATGTCTAACCGAAACAAGTGTGGTGAGAATTTGTGAAGTGAAGCAGGTGATGGTATATGGATATAACACTGTCTGTCACACAGAATCTGTAAGAAATTCAAATACCCTGAAAAGGAAAAAAGGCCGTCCCAGAGTCCCATGACTATCCTGTAAAATAAAACACAAGCCATTAACAAAATATTTTAAACTCTGTTCCATAGATCTGTTGACAAGTTTCAGTGTCATTCCATCAGCCTATCAATAATTCAGGGCCTCTTTCAGTAGCATGCAAATAACAAGATGCTGAAAGTCTCCAGTGCCCATTCATCTGGACTGCTGATTAAAAATTAATACCCAAAGGGCACTGTCTACTAAGATCCATTCTGTCTAGTTGTAAATATACTAAGTTACCATAATTAAAGATTCACAGGCTTGAGAAGACATACAAAAGAAGCTTTACACATGGTACATTGCTTTGCAGAAGCAGGGTCTGCTCAGCTCTTCCCAACCACTTATATAACTTATATATCACTTACATACTCCTACTTACTTGCCATTACATTTACATACCTTCTTTGTAAACTCTGCAGCAGCAACCTGTGATTCCTGCAAGTCAACAATGTAAGTTAATCCAGATGCCATCATTTTTGTTTGTTTGTTTGTTGTAGTAATCCTGTCACTGATTAGGTTTTCCACTCTGAGAAAAGTACACACAGAAGACAGCTACAAGAACAACAGCAGCAAATAGATCTTTTTGAAGACTTATTTTAAATCCCACTTTAACCAACTCCACTGTTCAACATGCTTTTATTTCTGGGGAGAGAAGCAGAGCTCAAATGGGCACGAAGCATAGCAGTCCACGCCTCTGGCTTAAATGGTCCTTGATAGCTGTTTCCCTCTTTAAATGGGGCTGCTCTCCCGCTTGAAAATTGCCCTTATATTTCAACCCAGGCATTATTGCTGATGCCTTCCAGCACACCCCTCTTACTCTTCATAAAATTGCTCATTTTTCTACATCAGGAATAGAAACTTTCCCCGCAATTTCACGGGAACAGAAGCAGCCAGGTGTTCCACAAAGCCCTGAACCTGCTGCCCAGTACACTTGCAAGGTTTGAGAGCTCTTCTGCCTGCAGCACTGCTGCCCACAACCACGCATCTGGCTGGCTGGGAACAGAACAGCTCCAAGCCAGAGCCGCCGCTATGCCAGTGAATGGATTGAGTTGTCCAAGAGGAGCAAAGTATGAAGATGGGAGGAGAGCACAGGTAAAGCATGTGGGTGGGAAACTGGGGAGAAGGAATTTTAAAAGAAAATATGCAAGAAGGAATGAAGGAATTATGAAGGAATTGGCACTCAGGCAAATGCAATGAGGATTTCGCCATTTTTAATTGTCCTTGGTTCAAGCCCCAAGGAAATGATAAACAGAGCAGGTCCCATTAATGTCAGCTCACTACAAAACAGTGCAGAAAAAAAAAAAGTGCATGTTCAGTCAAGATACTTTAAAGGACACTACGAAGATATGGTGGACACTAGTTGTTGAGAGATGATTATTGGACATCAAGCAGAGAAAAACACCAGCACATAACTTAGACTCGCTTTCAGATGTCCTAGTTAATAGGATTTAATTATATGGAAGAAGCATGGCAACAGGTGAGCTACTAAAAACTGTGTATTGGCTTGATTTAGAAAGGGATTTTCAAATACTGTTTAGATATTATTTCCTATTGATTCCTTTGAGACTGCCATCTACAAGATTTGTTTGATAATTAGACATTGCAACTAAATAGTCCACTAGTTCTCCCAACAAGTTTTTTAGGTACAGTTCTTCCTTATCTCACTCTTTGCTTTTGAGCCTCCACTTTGTCAGACAACACCTAGAAATCCTATTGTAGATACACTGCAAGTGTTTGCTGTAACTCTTGAAAAGACACTGTAAGATCCAGCTTCCAGCCTTGAGTACTTACAGAGTGAATTTTTGGTAAGGTTAGTTACTAAAGTAGTAACCAGGAATGGCTACTGGCTGGTTCTGGGTGTTTCCTCACTAGCTAAACTGTAGAAGCACAAAGCCAATAGAGAAACGCTAGAATTTTTATATAATAAACTTCAGTATTGTAGAGTGTTATAGCTGCTTTAGGAAAACATGCTTGGAATTATAATAAGGCAAAGACACTGGCAAGAAGAGTTGTTCAAAATATCTGTCAATATACTTTCTATTGTTGTCTTGAAGGCTCTATTTGTGATTTAATAAAACAGAGGAGTCAAACTCCACAGGTGAAATAGCTTTAATATACCTACGGGCAGTATGAATTTTATGGGAAAGGCAAACTGTTGCTAATAGAAAGCATTTTAAAGCAGAATTGATATTGAGCTAGGTCCTAATACTACCGCACCACTGAGGAAGAGCTATACCCAGTATAGCTCAGTGTACACATTATATATACACTCAGCAACTTCTCAGCTTGTTTTTGGATCTGAATCAGAAAGAAAAAAAAAAAAAACCTATCTCCAATAAAACTTAAAAATTAACAAAGCAGTTCATATGCTTCCATGTTCAGCATGATCTTAAGCATGCTGTTGAACCAATGCTGTGTATTTTTTTTAGTATGTTTAACCCTCTATTATGCAAAAGTGGGGGCTAGATTGAAATACTAACTTCATTTGTAAGTGGATGTTTAGCTCTGATTCAATAAAAAAAAAACTTGATTTCTAATATAATAGCGTTAAGTATTACATGAAAGCACTATTGAGAAAAAATATTCTTTCATTGGTACTTTCTTGCATCTCCCAGACTATGACAATGTTAGATTATACGTTATCACTTGGAAAAGGTCTAAGGAGGGGATGCTTTTAGGTAAAAGCAGCAATTGCACCTTACCTCATTTGTTTGCATGCTGTTGAATATGGAATAACAAAGATCCAAAACAGTGCTGGAGATCTGCAAAACCAAACAGTTCTGTAATACACTTACTGATAGGACACCATGTACTGGGTCTTACCGAGAACAGATTTACAGGCTTCACCCAAATCCCAGCACAATTTAAGTATTATGTATGTGGTTCCAATAAAACCATTCAGAGCAAGGTAAGGCTTACTGATGTTAGTATATGATGAAAAACAAGTATTTTGTTATAAGGAGCATACAGAAAGACTTGTGTTGTCAGTAGAGCCTCTTGCTACAAACAGACTTAAATGAATCACTTACATTTAAGATGCTCCTTCCTATGCCAAGTGTTCCAGAATTAGCTGGGTTGGGATTTGTCTTTGTTTGCATGTTCTATCTACACTCATTCATCTATAGGCATTTCAGGAGAAGCTGTTCGATGTAGGTTTGACCACAGAGCCCAGTATGTTCAACAGAGATAGTTTTATCTTATAAGATGCTAAAAATCAGTCTGGTCCAGTTGTACACCTGCAGGACAGATGATGAAGGGCCAGAGAGTAACTCTGCTATATCAGTGACAAGAGCTGCTCCAGTGGGTTTTATCTCAGGACTCCCCGAGGAGAAGGAGAGAGCAAAGATGGGATTCACATGGGGGTCCCATACTCACAGGACAAGGGTTCGCTTATGTACGTGATCACATCTCAGACAAGAAATAAGGAAATAAAACGCAGGACAAATAACCATCTTTGGGAACTATTTCCCACCAATTTTGTTCAACAAAACTGAAAGATACGAGGGGAAAAAGACGACAACAACAACAAAAAACAAACAAACAAAATCAATCAAACAAACAAACCACCACGCACAACAAAACAGTTGAAAGTTTCCATACAACTTCTGATGGTACGAAAACGCTGAGCCCAACGGCAGCTTACCTGGGGCTGGTTGGACAGCTCCATCCACTGACTGAAGCACAGCGCCAGTTGCTTACGAAGTACAGAGCGGACGTTAGCGGCGCGGCTGTCCCCAGCAGCCAGCAGCTCAATTCCCTGACCCCTCACCCAACCCCCGGCATGAGCGCCCTACCTGGCTCTTGGGCAGCTCCGCGCCGTCCCTGTAGCGAGAGAGGGGCTGCGGGAACCCTGCGGAGAGGGACACGAGGGGGGGCGGTTCAGCGGGGCCCCGAGGGCAGCCCCTTTACCCGAACTTCGGGCCCCGTACCTACCGGAGCCCCGCGGCAGCGCGCAGAGGCAGCAGGCGGCCAGCAGCCAGGGCAGCGCGGGCGGCGGCAGGAGCATAGCGGGCGACCAAGGGCGGCGGCGGGCGGCGGCTTTATGGGGCCGCACAGACACAGGGGCGGCACCGGCCGCGGCCACGGCCCCACTCTGCCGGGCCCCCGCCCCCGCCAAAGTGACGGGGAATTGCGCGAAGGGGCTGAGAGCAAGACAGGCCGAGCCTTCCTAAAGTCTTTTTTTATATAGACTTCGAGTTTGCTGCAACGAGTACGTAAATTCCTCGTGTCCCAGTGTAGCATAGGAGTAGGGATTTGATTAGGGAGGAGATGCAAGAAATCCATGTCACTTTTCGGCAGTAACTGTGCTTTGCCCAGGCCTTGGCAGATTGGGACTGGAGGGACCTTCTCATCCCTTTCAGACAGTACAATGTTTGTGTTGCCACACTTAGTGCAGTTTGCACCCAGATCACTCCTACAGTACAGGAACAGGCATCTAACAGATCCGTTCAGTGTTAGTTGCTGTCTGTGTGGCAGTTCCTTCAAACACTAATTACTTACTACATTTTAGAGTAGAATACAATTACACAGCTACTAATTTGCTACTAATGATTAAGTATAATGGGCCAGACCCAATTCCTTCAGCCTTTCCTCATCAAACTTCTCCAGTGAAGAAACGTTGAGGCAGCAGGGGTTGTTCAGCCTGGAGAAGAGGTGGCTCAATGCAGCCTTCCAGTACTTGAAGGCATGCTTATAAGCATGAGGCAAATGGACTTTTTACATGGTGTGACAGTGATAGGACAAGGGGAATGGCTTTAAACTAAAAGAGGGGAGATTTAGGCTAGATGTTAGGAGGAAATATTTAACTCAGAGGGTTGTGAGGCGCTGGCACGGCTTCCCAGAGAAGTTGTGGTGCCCCATCCCTGGAGGCGCTCAAGGCCAGGTTGGATGGGGCCCTGGGCAGCCTGAATTGGAGGGGGACAGCCCTGCCCATGGCAGGGGTTGGGGCTGGGTGGGCTTTGAGGTCTCTTCCAACCTAAGTCATTTTTTATTCCTATGATTTTCTGATTCTATGGTTCTCTGGCTTTCCCTGTCTGATAAGGAAAACTCAGTTTGCTCCTTTTTCCTTCAGGCTACTCATTATCTGCCTAAATTCTGCTTCCATCCTACACAGCCAGTTCAGTAATGGCCTCTTCCATCTATTTAACCGTGTCAATTTTCAGGAGAGTGAAGTGATTGCTACATCATAGAGAAAGGTCTGTGTGACCATGTTGAGCGGGTAAGGCTTACCTCTCTTTGAGGAAAAATACGGGGTGCTGCCTGCATCTTTCCTTCTTCCTTTTTGAGCACAATGCAGCACCCACTGCTTTGTTTCACCCTTTCCAAGTGAATATCCTAAATGTACCCTTCAGCAAATGTTGGTCCTGTGAAGCCTGTGGAGTTACTAATTTGCTTCAGGTGAGGTTTATACATAAAGATCAGATTAAAATTAAGTCATGTGTGTTCAGTTTAAAAAAAAATAAATCAGTACTTATTACCAAACTGAAAACAGGATTTTATCAGCCACACTGCAGTGTGAGGGAATAACTGGGAAAAGTATTTAAATGCAATAATTCAAATAGTTAAATGTGTCACATTTTGAACTTATCCATTATCCTTCCTTAAATCAGAACTTTCTGCAGCTGCTGTACATTTCATTTCACAGGTGCTAGATCAGGTGCAGTTCTGCCAATGGGTTCATCAGCACCAAGGCAGATTAATGAGCCACCCTTTCAATGTACAGGGTCCTGGACTTCCTGCATGCTAAGAGATAGGTTAAGAGTTTCAGCGCCCACAGTTATATGTGAGCAAGTTAAAATGAAGCTTTGGGGGAGTGTCAATGGGAAACAAGAGAATCTTTGTGGTGAGTCAGGAGGGTTGGTGTATATTTAGTAGCAGTAACATTAATTTTCCATTAAAGCATGCTGTGGTAGATAAATGAAGAATAAAAAGATAATTTGGCTTCAACAGGCATAAGGATGAAGACTGTCTTTCTTTTTTGCAAATGATCTCTGTGGTGATACCAGCAGTTCTGCACGCAGCAAAGGCATGATCCATAAAACATCACCAGTGTGCAGCTCCTAAGTGTATTAAAACTGGCTGCTGCTGCTTCCTTGTGCCTTGCACCCTCTGCAGCTTGACACTGCTCAGTGGAAAGCCAAACCATGGACCTGCTGGAAAGATGATAAAATGCTGCAGAAGTTGCAGGGTACTTACTAGGCAAACTTGCCACAAAGCCTGCAGGCATCTCCCAGTACTCACCCTGTATTAAATATGACACTGCTCATTTATCTGAGTATGAGGCTGTGTTGACTGTGAATTTAATCAACATACACTTCATTTCCAGTACAGACAAGCAGTCCAAACAGCGGGAGCTTCTCTCATTTTTGAGCCTAGTTAGGCAAGGCTCAAGTTTTGTAAAACAGAGGTCTTGTACAGGTGTGGATTTGGTTGTCAGAATGTCAAACAAGTGCAGAATAAGTATTTTTCTTCTGTTTGTGGTTGGATTGCTGTACTTTGCAGATATAATGCCATGGTCTTAAAGTGCAGTAGGTCAACAAGGAAATGTTTAAAGAAGGTCAGTAAAAATGTACCTCATACAGTCAGAGATTAAGGACAAAAAGATAATCAAGAGCTAAACCATGGAAAAATAGTACAAGTACGCTCCAAGTACACTCTCCAAGTACAAGTAGTACAAGGAGAAGCTAGGATCTAGGCTAGGAATCTGAACTGTTACCTTCTTTTGGATCACTTCTTGGCTAAATTTGATTTTATGTCTGCTACATGCAGCCAGAGAAATGACTATTCCTCAGAAATTAAGAAATTTATACTTACCATGCTGTACTGTATGGAAATGAAAATACAATAGTGGGCTATACTGTGCTATCTGGGCTGAAGGTTCACTTAGATTGGCATGTTCCAAAGCATTTGGAAAGATCTTAAGTCTGGAACTCACACTTGGCTTAATTTTAACACTGTCCTGTCCTGCTTGGGCAGAACAGAGGGATAACTCCACTTTCTGTGCCTGAGCTTTCATTTATCCACAACTATATGCTCCTGACTCCTTATCTTGTGCCTTACCAGAAATTTCTCATAGTGTCCCAACTAAGTACTGGAGAGGCTGATATGTCCTTAGCATCACCAGTTAAATAAATCTGATTATAATAGGTGAATCATAGAGCTGACACACATTCATCCATTCCTCCTAAATGTGAATGATTTAATTTGTATCTTCAATTTTCTCTGAGTGTGTTTATGTGTAATTTATAATTCTGTCTTTAGAGAGAGATTGCCATAGTCTGTGATGATGGGTAACTTACACTAATTATTAGGGTGTAAGGTATCCATTGTATACCATGCATCCCAGATTTCTGACAAATACACAGATTCTAAGTTTCTATTAACTGTAGTATATGTGAACAGAATACATACAAATATGTTGCCTTAAAATGGATGTTTGTCTCACCAACAGCTAGCTACAGGCAGAACCAATGAAGCCAAAACCTACAAAGACTCTTCAAGCAACATTCACTCTAAGCCTACCAGCCAAAGAGACAAAAGCACCAGATGACATTAATCTACGTCAGTGCCTTATGACCCACCAACCCTCAGTAGGTAATATTTCTCAGTATCTTCTCAACTTAAGGTCACACATAGATAATATCCATTTGAGAAGCTGATCATATAGACAACTGAGAGATCACGCCTCTGGGCACTACGGGGTGTGCATGCATCATGGTGAAAGCAGCAAGGAGTTCAAACCCACACTTTGCTTCCCTTTGCTTCATTGAGCAGCACTTACTCCTACAAGGGATCTGAGTCAAATGCCTTTCAAAATGAGTAAGTACTCCAATTTTGTCACTTACAATTATTATTGAAGATACCTGTATTTTTCTTGTTAAGCAAGTTGACTCATTTAATATGAAGGCAATTAATTTTCTTGCTCTGTTCCAGGTAGGAGAGATTCATACAGAATTTTATTGGCATTGATAATGAACAGATAGGATTCCTGACATGTTAAATCCTGGCAGCTGTATGACTTAACTTTTTTCCTGCTCTTTGACAGAAGTGTTTTTTACTTGGACCCTCAGTGGCTGTGGTGTCACACAGGTATTCCCCGTGGTAGTTATGTCTGGATGTACTTTAAAGCTAGCAGTAGTGTGTAGAAAATGCAGTGAGGTGAGCTCTCCATTCCTTTCTGGAGTAACACCTCTTGAGGATTCTTGTCAATAAATGGCAATCACTGCACTTTCTGCTGGCTCTGATGGCCCTGAAATATAGAAGGAATTGTTCTAAAGCCAAATAGAAAAGGGGAAAAAAATGAGAGAAAATAAGGATAACTCAAGCCAAATAACAACAAAGAACACGCTAGTGAGCCAGGTCTCTCACAATATCCACAGAGAGTGAAGTTCTGAGGAGTACTGTATGTATTCCTTATAGTAGGTCAAACCCTTCCTAGTACCTTCCTATCTCAGCCCTACAGAGGCTGGGGTCTCTTTAGCATGCTTGTTTCCATATAACTGGAGAAAACAGACTTCGTTTGTTTTTTTTCCTCCACAGTACAGTTTGCTGTTAGACAACACACTTAAATCTTATCTGAAAATAATCAGTTCCTCAAAGAGGAAACTTATGAAGGAAATGAGCAGTCAGCACAATGATTATCAACCACAATCTCCAAAGTGCAGCTCTCTGGGGAGAGGTTCTAGCACTGGGTCTGGGTCTCACAGCTTGTTAATAGAAAAAGATACTGTGCAGTATCTGGTAAATCCAAGTTGGTCTACCACTGCTGCCCTCAAAGATTTCAGATGGCTGAAGGTGTGTGACTCTCATGAGCTCCTATGGAGCCAGAGATTATATTGTGTTGATGTAGTTGGGTGAATAGCCCTGAGGCAGGAAAATTAACCACACTCAATTAAAATGTTCTTTCTGTTGACAGAATTATCATATATATTCCTGGCCAACAGTACAGAAACTACTACTGAATGGAAAAGTGAGAAGGGCTGCAAAATTAAAATTCAGGTCCTCTGT